TGTAATGTAGTGTTTTGGGTTATGTTTCTTGTTCATGTTTTCATGTCTTTTATTTTGGAGTTTAGTCATGGTCCCTGTTTGTGTCATGCTTCCCTTGCCCTCTTGTATTCTTGCCATTGGTTCTCTTGTTCATTGTGTCATGTTCTGATTGGTAGTCTTAGTCATGTGTCTTGTTTCCCATTGGTTTGTTCATGTCATGTGACCCTTCTTGTTTGATACAAATAGCCCTCATGTTCCCATTGTGCCTTGTCGTGTATTGATGTTGTTACCCGCTGTTGGTGAGTCTAGTCTGTTTATGCCTCGTCAAGCCTGTTCATGTCAAGTCAAGTCCGTTCATGTCAAGTCAAGTCTCGGATTATTGTTTGGATGTTTGGATCACCTGTAAATAAACTGCACTTGGGTTCTTCACTACGCTCGCCTTCAGTGGACTGATTCGTTACAAGTAAGTGCATAGTATGTACATGAACTGTAAAATAAAGTACTACCAATCTTTCTTCTTAACACAAACCATTGAAATAGTAGTGTATTGTGGTTCCCACTAAAATATTAAGCTGCAAAAACTAGTTTTCAACATTGATAATAGTGAGGAATTAGCATATTTTAATGATTTCTGAAGGAGCATATGACACTGAAGACTGGAGTATAATGGCTCCTGAAAATGTAGCTATGTATTCAGTAACTTTGGTCAGTTTTATGCTGACTAAAATGTTACTCTACAAATATTTTAGTTGATAAAAAAAAAACTCAGATATTGAAACAGATATTTACATTTATATATTATTATATCAATTTAATATGGCTAAAGCATTGAGTACACTATTCTAATACAATATTGTGAATTATTTATGCTATAATTATTCATTGTCCATTTTTAGTGTATTGTTATGGAAACAGTGTTTTGAAATGTGCACATTCACTAGCACATAACTTGTGCATTTACACAGAGATTCATGGGACGATATGACCTCCAAAGCTTTGCTGTTGGCTAAAGTGTGACTGTAAACTTGGATCATCTGTGCCTTGATGTTATTGAATTGCAACACTGAGTTGTGCAACAGTTAATAACTGTTTGCGAATCCCATAGAAGTGAATGAAAAGTGTCATAAACTGAATCTTACTTGTCACATTTTTTTCAGTGCAAACTCCAAAGCTAAATTAATATGGATTTTTTGGGGAAATGTAATGGAAAACTTGTTAAAGATTAGCAGATACACAGTCATTTCATTAAGTGATATCTTATAATCGTATGATACCCCAGTCTTTTATTTTTTTGTTGCTAACCTTGGAGGCTTGCCTTACAGCAGTTCTGATTTGCATCATTTTGTGCAGATACAAGTTGTAATATTACTTTTATGATGATGTTATTATTAATCTCAAATCTACAGGATGTCTTTGGGTGAGTTAATTAACCCACTAGTGAACTGCTTAAATCCACCGGTGTTCATTCACTGTTCAGCTTTAGCTCAAGCGGGTCAATCCTTGACATTACTGACTGATAGACTATTTTAAAAGCAAATTCTTCCTAGTTTTTCTTCATTAAAAACTTTTAATATCTTTCTCATCATTTTCATCAACAGTATGTTTTAATTTAAAAAATGATTCTCGTCTTAATGTGAATTTTTCGTCTCATCATTATTACTGACAAAATCAAAAAACCTTTTGTTAACGAACAGCATCTTTAATAATTCTGCCTCTGATGCATCAGAATGCAAACACTCTTTCCATGGCTTAATTTGAAGTGTATTATGGTCCATTTGTCAACACAATACAATTTTGACTGATCTTGTATCCTATTAACATGAGTGTCCTAAAGCGTGCTTGTTTAAAGTTGCCTGTATCTTTCGAGCTGTCCTCATACAGCTTATAAATTCCCTTTCTCCTTGGTAGACCATTTGATGGCCTCTTGGTGGATGGTTTTCTTAATACTGGGGCTGAATAGGATTTAATGTAATCCCACTCAGGGAACAGATGGACTGATAGCATTCCCTGCCTTAATACAGACCTGCGTTTAACTCATGGGCTATATTTACACCCCAGTGAAGCCCCTCCGAAATCCTCTCACTGTCTTGGATCATATCTAGACACCAGTTTCCCTCCGACAGTGACTAATTCTAGTGCATGAACATTTGAGATGATTCTTCGTTTTAGAGACTCTTTTATGAACCACTTGCTCTTGCAATGTTGGTATATACTTGTAATGTTGATAACCACAAAAACAATACCATTGATTTGGCCCTCTTTTTTATTAAATAAAGCGCAAAATCTTGAGTGAGACACTTACAAATGAAGTTAACATGGCCAATCTGTAAATAGTAAGAATGTATAGCAACAAGATGTAAACAATAACCATGGTAACATGATTTTAGGGATTATTGATTAAGCTTAAGCTGATAACTTGCGCCCCTTTCTTGAGCCCAAACCCAAGAAATGGCATACCCAAAATAGATAGTCTACTTTATTTTCTAACATGATGTAGGCCTAGACACAACCGAATGACTGAAGTAGCCATTGTTATTGCCTGAGAAATCCGCCCCGACATCTCTAAAATATAAAATCGCTATTATAAGCTTAACGTAGTAAATAAGAGTAAACACACACAAAAAAAGTTACATATTACAGCTTTAACTTGTATCAAACTTGTATGTTAATTTAATCAGTTGGATATATTTGATCTCCTTAGGAGAAATGCATGGAAACAAATGACATTTGTTGAAATGAAGTGATTAGAGAGCTATAAAAAATAATAGGAGTATGTATAGCACAGATCGTTTAGCGTCTGGAGAATTTGATGAGAACTATTTGAAATAATTCTGAAATGCAGTTTAAGACTACTTATGTTTCTCAGTAAAAAAAAAAAAAAAAACAATCTGAAAAGCTTCAAGACTCTAATTGTTCTTTATTTAATTTCATTGGTATGAGTAACATTTGAGATCTTAAAGAGATATCATTTGTGTTTTTTTTCTTTCCTGTGGGTGGCCATGCGCTCTCTTCGCTCTAATAAGATTACTCCCACGCCACGGCAGGTGCATATTCACCAATTTGAGCTCTCAAAATAGATGGCTGCCATTAAGGCGGAAGAGACCACAGAGGCTGGATCGCATTGCCAACCAACTTCGTGATATTTTCTCTCTGCGTGGGAACCCTCGCTTTCTTCGGGAGTGAATTAAAGACAGAGGGCAGCAGAGCTCCTAAACCCGACTGCTCGGGATGCGTTCGGCACTGAGGAGTTTCTGATACTCTCCAGCCGTTTGAGGAGGATTTGCATGGCTTTACAACTCACGCGGTAAGACTTTCTGCGCTTCTTCAATCGCTGCGCTGTAGCGCGTCAAGGAAAGTTAGTGACACTTTGCGCGCAAAGCGACTCAATTTTTGGATTGTTATTCCGATGGTTGACAAGTCGTTGGATGAGGAGGTGAGTGACTAAGTAAGGGGTTTATTTCTCTTTGGGTCGGCTGCTCTGAATCACATTTGGGGGTCGGGTTGTGTAGTATCTTCGGTTCTTGGCGCGTAACGGCGCCTGGAAATGTTGTGAATTGCACACAGGACGCGTTGACGTGCTAGCAATTGCATTTGGAAGATTTATTGATGAAACCTGTCAAGTGGTGTTGATTACAGTGACTGACACAGTTTTCCAGCCTGACGTGAGGGATGTGTCTACAGGACCCCGGATTACCGTATGCTCATCCTATTACGCTGCACATTCCCGCAATCTGTTGCCTCCGCGTTTAATTCATTTAACGAAAGTAAAATAGACAATGTAAAAATAGACAGTCTAAAATGTAACAATAGTGCGCATGAAAAGTTTGACTTGCATTCAATTGTTGTATTTATTATAGTAACCATACACAGTACTATAGTTACTACAGATATTGCTACTACTGTAAAATCATACAGTTTACATGAGATCAATTTTTTAAAATGCTGTCATTATAATCTCCTTTCTTTATGATAATGGTGGCTATTAAACAGTTTTACAGTTTTAACAATAACTAGTAAGAATGGCATTTTGGTGGTAACTGGTAGATTTTGTTAATGATATAGCCTACTGATGTTAACGACTATACATCTTAATGCCTTAAAAGTGAAAGGAGGAGGTATTTTCAACCTGACTTGACCCTTGAAAATGACTTCTGTTGATGTGACCTACTGTAGTTTGCTTGATTTAGTCACATTAAATAAACTGACTTGAATAAAACCAGTTCATTTAGGTGTTACAATGTGAGGGACATTCTGAACATTTGAATTTAAGCATTCCTTCACCGAACCAAAGAGATCTTCTCTTCTTTTGACTAGTTTTGATGTCAGACTTATCACCGATCAGCATTCTGAAAAGAAGAAAACATCTTTGTAGTTTTAATGGTCAAAACCCACAAATGAAATCATATTAATATCTCAATTCTTACTCCTAAACAGCAATGAAATTAAATCGAGATGGCTTGCTTGTCTGAGAAATAGCTCATAGTTTTCTCACATACTGTATGTACTCAACAACGTCTCAAACTCCAAAGGCTGATGTCAGTATGAACTCAAACATTTATCGGATTCTTCAAAGACCAATTTATCTGAGCTATGGCATCCACATTTGTTTTATTTTATTTTATTTCATTTACATCAAAATTTAATTCTCAAATAATTTTAGAAGAAGAATCCAAAACAAACAAAGCCGAAACCTACTGTAACTGAGAGTCTCCTGAGCTATAAAAAAGCAACTTCTGAACAATGTAATTTTACTTAGGGGAACCTCCCCGTCTTAGTGTTCTTCTAGATATGTCAGTGTGATCCGACACTGGTGATGAATTACAAAGTTAGACCACATAGAAGGAGCTGGTGTGGATCTACAGGAACACTAAATGCCAGTGAACACAATGAAAAGCTGTTGGTCTTCTGTAGTGATAACCTCCTCTGGAGCACGTATGGCTTCTACCCCTCCTTTCCTCATTAATTATTGACCCCCACCACATGTTCCTCAACTCCTGTGTTATTTGTGATGGTGTCTGTCTCTGTGCTGCAGGTTAGGTCAACAGCTTGTGAGTCACCCAGTGGGTCTATTACCATGACGCCTTGTTTAACCCTTTTAAATATTTACAGAAATAGACATATGCTGGTGGGGTTTATGCTAAATTAAATGAGCTTATCAAACCTTATCCCCATTTCCTCTTCCGACAAAAATAGTTAAACAATGATCTCTCTCTCTTTTTTAATATACACCTTAGAAAATTATTTATTTATTTTATTTTTAATTTTTTTCAGTGCACTCTTGCAGGTCATAAGCTTAAAATCCAAATAAAACGGGCCCAAAAGATACCCACATACTTGTTCATGTGCATTTCAAGGGATAGTTTGTCCAGAAATGAAAGTGATGTCATTAATTACTCTCCTTTATGCTGTTCCAAACCATTTTGTTCACCTTCAAAGCACAAATGAACTGAACACTTCAACACGCATACATAGAGCTAATCAAATACAGTCAACAGAAGACTTTCAATATTTACAGAAATAGACACATGCTTTTATGCTAAATTAAATGAACTTATCCAACCCTATCCTCATTTACTCCACTGACAAAAATATTGAAACACTTTCCTTACATCGTAGACGAATACAGAAGATAACTCCAGTTAATCCAAAAATGAAAATTGGCATCAATTAGTCACCCTAATATATTTCCAAATCATTTTGTTCACACAAACGAACACTTCAACACACATACATAGAGCTAATCAAATATGGTCAACAGGAGTTTTTAAATATTTAAAAAGAAAACATGTGCTGGTGGGTTTTACACTAAATTAAATGAGATTTTCCAACTTCCACTGACAAAAATATTTAAACAATTTCCTTACAGTATAGTAGAATACAGAAAATAACTCTTGCAGGTCTCAAGCTTAAAATCCAAATAAAATGAGCCAAACAAGTCTATGTACTTGTTCAAGTGCATTTCAAGAGAGAGTCCATGGCAATTTTGTCATTAATTACTTATGTTCAAAGGATAATTTATTCAAAAATGACAATTGTCTCATCAATTACTCACCTTCAGGTCATTCCAAAACCTTCTGGTCAACTTCGAAACATAAATGAACATGTCAACACACATACTTAATGCTCAGCAAATATGGCCAACAGAAGCTTTTAAATATTTACAGAAATAGACACGTGTGGATGGGTGTTACAGTAAATTAAAAGAGCCTATCCAACCCATTTTCTCTGCTGACAAAAATATTTAAACATAATTTCCGTACAATATAATAGAATACAGAAGATAACATTTCTGTATTTCTAGCATATATCCTATGAATTATATTCTAGCAATTCTTTGTGTGCGAATTCATATTGGCTATTTTGAAATTGCCAATGTGGCCAAAAGCCAAGCATCCGTCGCTTTTTAGCTATGTCCTACATGCTTGGGATTCTGTATATTTCAGCGTACCCTCCCCACCCGTCGTGCTTTGCGTGGGTTGATTCATTGCTAGGCTGCCCATCATTGTTTCACTGTCTCTGGCTGTCTCATTAAAGACATTGGCTAATAGGATTTATCCTGCTCTGAGGCAACCATAGTAAATGCTCATTTAGCTGGAGCACCCTCATCAAATGGAGCCTCTGTAATCAGACACTCAGGGACGTTCGACCCTCCAATTCATCTCGGCCACCTGGTCTAAACACTGACTGGAGTTGGCGGCATCGCAGAGGGCTTGTGGGATACAGTGAGCCTGTCATTAGAAAGAAATGTCGTTTGACACATCTGACCCGCTAAACCTGGAAGGATATAGAGGGAGTTTTGACCCTCTGATGGAGGTTGCCCTCTCACAGAACCCATGGTGGCTTTGCATTTGCTCTTGGGCTGAATTCTGTCAAGGCTTAGTGGACTCCAGGTCTTTCTCAAGACTAAATACTTCTCAGCTTGTAGACATTTAATAGGTTTTCTGTCGGATTAGAACTTAATATCTATAGCTTCTTTTAATTTCTCACTGATAAAAAAAATTATGGTGAAACAATTTTCACTCATAAATTTCTAGTATATTTCACAAATAATTACAAAGAAGTGGTGAGTAACACATGACATTTAATAGATATAGTATTTTCTTATAAGCCGTACTCCAGTTACTATATCTTTGTTGTATTTACAACTTTCGTAAAACGATTTTGGCAGTGTTCCCTTGCAGGTCACAAGCGTAAAATCCACATATAAATGAGCCAAAAGATGTCCACATACTTGTTCACAGGCATTTCAAGGGATGGTTCACCCCAAAAAATGACAACTCAGTCATTATTTGCTCAGTTTCAAGAGATAGTTCACCAAAAATGAAATTCTGTCATTTCTGTCACGACAGCTCTCTGGGAGTTTAGCATGGTAATGTACATGACAATGTTATTGTGTCTTGCTACGCTGCAGCAGCAGAGCAAGTACCGAGACTTGCTACTGCCAGTACATTCACAGAAATACTGCTGCTGCACATAACATATAAAATAACCCCCATATATAACACACAATAAATCACCCTATAGCAGATATATACAGGTGGAGCTGGGGAAGGTGGAGGGTTTCTAAAACGCTCTGCAACTGCTACAGCAAGCACTAGTCGAGTATTTGAATGTTGAGCAGCAAGCTCATTGGCTGCTGATACAAAAAGAAACCAATCAGCTATGGCATGCGAATAATGATGGTCGGACTGCCCCATTTAGAGTTTCACAACAGAACTTGGGATTTACTTCGTGAATCTTCAGAACTTCAGAATTTGGTTAATCTTCATAACACAAATAATCACATACATGCACGTACATAGAGCTCATTAAATATGGTCAACAGATTCTGTTGATCCACTGATGTGCTCTATATATGTACACTGATCAATGGTTATATGTATGGTTGCATTTACATGTATGCGTTTAGATGCTATCCGCATACATGTAAGTGCAACTATTGTTTGAAGCGACTAGATTAGGAAACATACCGTATTGTCCCGAATATAAGACGATGTTTTTTTCTTGGAAATACATCTGAAAAAACGCGGTCGTCTTATATTCAGGGTCTAGACTTTGACATGTCAATAATACACCCACAACACTAGGTGGCGCCAAAACCGCATAAAACGAGTGTGCCATGAAATACGTAATGTAATGCGTGTTGTAAAGAGCGCAAGTAAAAACAAAAGAAGCAGAAAACCTTAAAGCTGCATGAGTCGTGACTGTCACGTTAACCAAACTCCCTTTGTGATTTTAAAACGTAAGACAGTACCCAGATTTGAAGACTACAGTAAGATTGAACTTCTACTGTTAATAAGATTTTGGCAGGCTACTATTAGATGGATAGCCTAAATGTCCTAATTCAGATGGGCTACCTGTTTATTTTTTTAATGGTATATCAAAAAGTGTATATTTTTAAAATGTGATTGTTGGTACATTTTACCAGTTTTT